GGGAGGAAGGAAGAGCAGAGGAGGAGGGAGGAGGGAGGAGCGAGGTGTGTGAGCTTCACGGGTGCGACGCGGGATGGAAGAAAACAATAACTCCACTAAGCATGTGAGGAATAAAACGAACGGCGAAATCTTGCACGCCCAAGGTGCTAACACATGACTTATGTACGCCCGTACATCATTTTTGTTGCGTCTGGCTGGACATGCGTGTCCGAACGCAACTGGTCATACCAGACCGGTGTACATGCAACAACAATCTGATCACAGAGGGGACGCCGAGACTGACCGCGGTAACGATAGCAACGATTCAAGGTTGGGCGCTGATGTTAGAACATCACATTTCAACTGATGCGAACAACGGAAACCATGAGCAAGAAACACAACCAACCCTGCTGTCCCACCCCTTGGTGTCGTGGGTCCGTGACCTTCATGGCCTTCCAGGCAGCTCTCAGCGACCCCCTGGCAAGATATGGAGATAGGGGGGATATTTCTAACACACGATTGACGAGAGGTTGGTGGCAGTGCAATCAACTCGGCAACCGTTCACAGCATCCTGATTAGAACATCCAGTCTGCTTCTAGAGCCACGTACGAGACAGTGCACTAGCTCGTTCAATCACTGCTTCCAAAAGCAGAGATGCGGGCAACTTGCGTTAAACCAAGTCTGCCGACCATCTAGTAAGCTATGTCTAACGCCGAGCCCCGCCAACCTGGTAGCCGTAATTGGCTTTGCAGATCAGCTCTTCGGGATTCCTTCATTATTCTCCTTCGGAAGATTTTCACCTCCCCCGCAACTTCGCTCAAAATTGCCTCCAACATGTCTCCCAGAGTACCCAACACCTCCACAAGACGGCCCGAAGTGGCCACGGAGACTCCCGAGAATGCCCTCGATGTGCCAATTAAGTCGAAACAACTCGTTGTGTGTGTGTGATTATGTCTTACTTTATGCTCGCTCCAGGTGGGCTTCTGAGGCCTAAATGTGAAGTACTCCAATGTTGCCCCCTGTCGAGCCTGCAGCTGAGGCGTATTTTAGGAATCCCATCTGCGTACATATCTAGGGTGAGTAACCTGAGCGTTTTGCAAAGGCATCAGCGAAACCGCTGTAACAAGTGCTTCTTTGTAGCCGAAAGAACTTGTACAACAAGATCGCTATGTATCAAGACCCTTCTCTTGTAAAACATCGAACTACTTTTCAACGCAAGAGGGCTCTCCAGAGACTGGTCTGCGCGCCGCAAGAAGGGCGGGCCACGTCAACAGTGGGCGTCGTCAGTGCATGCGCATCCCTAACACTAGTAGTTTACATGTGCAATGTTCCCTTCTTCGCCTTCCTCTCCCTGCCTCTTCCCTCTTCACGGTGCTCCGAATTCGTGGGGCTTTCAGATTCTGCTTCACAGTCGGGCGCTTTTGTTTTCTGCTTCATAGTCGTGGGGCGCTCCGTTCTTCCCAGTCACAATCGCGATGCCTGCAGCTGTTGCTTCATAATCCAATCTCCGCACCCCGTCTGTTGTATAGTATTTTCTGGAGAGTTGCCAATTGCGCACTCTTCTGTCCACGCGTCCTGCTGGACGCTCGGCTCTTGCTGCTGCTGCTACCGGCGTCAGATGCGGACATACATACAAAGGAAAATGCCTGGCGTCGGAGCCGAAACCAGCTGCATGCAAAAGATTGCGTTTTCCCGCCCTTTCCCAATGCCCCCTTCCATCATCCATCCGATCCGATGTGCCCATCCCCGGGTCTGTCCCGCGTATCTTCCGAGCCGTGTTCAGCCGAACCACCGAGAAACGCCCGAAAACCTCCGAAACGAAGAAGACGTCGACATCGTCGACGTCCTCGATCCTCGATTCTGCCCTGCCAGCTTTTCCGAGCCTCGCCCAGCCGCGGCGAACCCCGAGGAACGTGCGAGAGCCTCCGAAACGAAGACGTCGACGTCGTCTTCCTCGATATCTGGGCTCATGGTTTGATTCTGCTGCATTGTTTTTGTGAGAAAGGAGAGCACAGCACAACCGCGAGGCTCCACTGGTGCTGCTACGAAACTGCTCCTCCTCCTCCTCCTCCTTCCGCCAACCAGTGTTCCCTGGACAGACAGACGCTTACAAGCGGAGCTGCCCGCGAGAGTGACTGCACGGGCGAGCGAGCGGTCGAGGGGGGCGCGGGGAGGACTCCATCCATTGAGCTCACTGGGGGGCAGCAGGGCTGCACCTAAACGGCGCTTTTTGTGTTCGTGTTGTATTCGTTGTCCCGCGTTTTGTCTTCAATCCGCCTCTACATTGTGGATGCCATGACAACGGACACTCTAACAATCCGATCATTGAATCAAACATGTGCTTAAAATGTGTAACACATGTTCTAAACATGTTTCAAACATGCTTTTACAGATTTAAACAAGTGTTTGAAGCATGTTTTAGACATCTGGAAACTATTTGGCAGCATGCTTCCTCTCCATGAATCGACTTCCACAACTCTAACACAAAACGAAATCGAAACGAAAGCGGCCCACGGAATCGCCGAAACACCGTTTGGGTCCAGCCCTGGGGGTGGCAGGCGAGGGGCGCCTGACGGAGCTCAAGGTCGCCTCCGCCCTGCGCAGCCGGGAGCCCATGCCGCCGAGCTCGTTCTCCAGGCCGCGCAGCTCGCGGCGGGCCTCGTCGAGCTCCTCGCGGGGAGGCGCGGGCGAAGGATGCTTGCGATGGAACGGATGATGTGCAATGCGTCGCTGTCTGCGTGTGCGTATCTGGCGGAGATATGTTTGGTGTACGCCCATCGCGTGAGCAATTCCTCATGTAATGTCCCGCGCGCCATGACACGCGAACCATACTTGCACACAGCTGTGAAACCCACACTTCCGAGAGATATGCTACATCATTCATGGCAGCCTTGAGGGCCAGAGCGTTTCCGTGAGGTACCATTTCCATCTTCCTACGGCTCCATGTCGCGGGGGAGGCAAACATATCAGCACTTGTTGGCAATCATCTCAACATCAAACGCATGAGATCTCAAGCAACATCTCTTCTGCTGAGAGCGGCACTATGTGTGGAACGCGTAAGACTGACCCTGGACTAGAGTGACCTTTTGGTGCACGGCCGCACGGCCTCCCTGGGAAATTCAATGCAACCGCGCAAGCAAGTACTGCCGCGCCGCATCAACGATCGGCGGGATGCGCGTCGACAATTTTTTGCGCCAAAGTGCGGGCTTCCACCACTTCGATTTAAACGCCCGGAATTACATTCCGAATGCGATGCGAAAGCAGACGCTGCCGGGGGCCACCACGATGAGGTCTGGCACTGCTGGGCCGCGTCGCGATGACGTCTGGCCAGCTGCGGCGTCATGGAAAAAAACTGGTCCCATCCGCGGGCCCGGAGCATGTTTGATTTGAATACTTCTGGATAACGTGCACGAGCAAAGCACCCCATTGGTTCAGACTATATTCACACATATTCATACATATTCAAATGTATTCAAAGATATCAAAACCATATGCAAAGATATACAAGGACTTTCAAGCCGAGCGATTTGGGATTTGGACTGGGATTCGGGACTGGTCCTGGGTCAGAAAACGAACCGTCCGGTCGACGAGCCCCCCCACGGGAAACCAATGCACACTGTAAGGTGCTCCGCGTATGCGCTGCTGTCGATTGCAAGGGGGAGGGGCCGAACCTGGCGCGCTCAGATGCGAGCGCGACCACGCGATACGGGTGTCGACGCCAGGTCGAGCCCACTTAAAGCTCGCCCGACCTCCTTGGGGCCCGCTCCAAAGGTCACTGTAGCGAAGGGTCACTCTTACGCGTAGTCGGTGCCAAGTTTGGGTGGCCGCTTTGTGCAAGATTGTCGCGCGGGATTTTTGGGACAGTGGAGTTCTTTGGGATGGAGGGCGCCCGCGTGCTGGGCCGTGCGGTGACCGCGGCGCGCGCGCACAGCGCGCGCAGGCTGTGCGGCCCCACTCTCAGGTGGGGCGCAGGAGGACAGGAGAGCAATGGAGACCACGAGGAAGCTTACCCGGCCTCTCGCGGCCACAGGTGGATGGAGCTCGACGAACGAGTCAGGGTGACGTCTGGGAGTCCTCCCTCTGCCCCCACCCCCTCGCCCCTGTCTGAACAGGGCGACTTGCGATCACGGCAGCTCATAACCACTCCCCAAGCCCCTCCCCGGGCCCAAACGCACCAATCATCCGAGCTGCGCCCAGCCGTGGCGACATGCCCCCTCCCACCCCGGAAGGGCCACCGCCGTGGTCTGAACATGCCCATCTCTGATCCGTACCGCCGCCTCCGCCGCGCAGCGGGGCCCCCCTCTCGCCCTGGAGGAGGAGGCGGAGGAGGAGGAGGAGGAGGAGGAGGAAGAGGAGGAGGAGAAGGAGGAGGAGGAGGAGGAGGGCGAGGAGGAGGAGGAGCAGGAGGAGGAGCAGGAGGAGGGGGAGGAGCAAAAGGAGTCGGAGTCGGAGTCGGGAGCCTTGGCATTTCGGTTCACCTCTGCGTCGTCAACTGAAGCGAGGCTGCTCGCCTGAAGCTCGAGCTATTCGCTGCTGACTAGATGATTCGGCGTTGCAGAGGGATGCCTGCAGGACCCATGGCCTATTGAGCCTCTCGGGCCCGCTTCGACGCTGGGCCGATTCCCTCCTACGTTTACAGCCCTGGACGGGTAAGAAGTTATCACGCGATGGTGCATCCCCACGCTCGGGCGAGGTTCTAAAACTGCAAAAAGTTGTTTGAAAACCTCGTCGCGTCAGATTTGCTGCAAGGGTAGCTCCTCCCCGCTCCGATCCCTCCCATCCCGCTCCCCCCCACCCGCCAGTTGGTTAGTGGGCGAAGCCCACTCACATAAAAAATTAGCCTGGCGAAAGACCCAACCATAAGCAATTGTTAATACCGCAATTGTGGGCATCATCTTCGGTGGAGCTCCCTATGGGGCCACGAACCGTGTGAGGGGTGCGCCCAAATGGGGCGGGGCCGCCATGCGGACCCTGCCACTGGGGCCTTCGGTGGAGCTCCTTATGGGGCCACGAACCGTGTGAGGGGTGCGCCCCAATGCGGGGCCGCCATGCGGACCCTGCCACTGGGGCCTTCGGTGGAGCTCCCTATGGGGCCACGAACCGTGTGAGGGGTGCGCCAAAATGGGGCGGGGCCGCCATGCGGACCCTGCCACTGGGGCCTTCGGTGGAGCTCCCTATGGGGCCACGAACCGTGTGAGGGGTGCGCCAAAATGCGGGGCCGCCATGCGAACCCTGCCACTGGGGCCTTCGGTGGAGCTCCCTATGGGGCCACGAACCGTGTGAGGGGTGCGCCAAAATGGGGCGGGGCCGCCATGCGAACCCTGCCACTGGGGCCTTCGGTGGAGCTCCCTATGGGGCCACGAACCGTGTGAGGGGTGCGCCAAAATGGGGCGGGGCCGCCATGCGAACCCTGCCACTGGGGCCTTCGGTGGAGCTCCCTATGGGGCCACGAACCGTGTGAGGGGTGCGCCAAATGGGGCGGGGCCGCCATGCGAACCCTGCCACTGGGGCCTTCGGTGGAGCTCCCTATGGGGCCACGAACCGTGTGAGGGGTGCGCCAAAATGCGGGGCCGCCATGTGGACCCTGGGGCCTTCGGTGGAGCTCCCTATGGGGCCACGAACCGTGTGAGGGGTGCGCCAAAATGCGGGGCCGCCATGCGGACCCTGCCACTGGGGCCTTCGGTGGAGCTCCCTATGGGGCCACGAACCGTGTGAGGGGTGCGCCAAAATGCGGGGCCGCCATGCGGACCCTGCCACTGGGGCCTTCGGTGGAGCTCCCTATGGGGCCACGGAACGCGTGAGGGATGTGCCGAAACAGAAACATGCGGAGGGCAGAGGCAAGGGGGAGGGAGGGGGCAGCGGGAGGAAGGAGGAGGAACGCGGGGCACCGTCTCTTCAAAACGAGGACCCAACACCACAGGATGGTTGGGAAATATTAGTCAGACTAGGTGAGCTCCTAGAGCCCCTCAGAATCGCCCCAAGACACCAGGCCAGACGCCAGGAGAGGGGACGGGGACCTGGGTCCAGGGGTCCAGCGGGGTAGCGGCGACGAGAACGGAACGGGCGAGGCCTGCATCCTATGTCAGACAAATCCATTGCCCAACGCCGCGAACAATTCCTCGTCCTGTCTCCGCACGGCCCCTTGGCCCTCAGCTAGGTTTGCATACTCTTAGCCGTGCTGAGTACATGCAAGCAAATAAGCAATCATTCCCGCTTGCCTGGAGGTGGGTTCCCTCCTAGGCGCTACAACAATTCCGCTGCCCTCGCGCTGCCTTGTTGCGCCTGTCGGCGCAGTCCTGCCATATCTATGCTGTGCCTTGCCGCTGGCGGACGAACTTCTGAACCTGCCTCTCGAGCGCGGTGGGAGGAGGCGCTCCCGTGGCGGCCGTTCCGCCCGTGGCCTTCATCGCTGTGTACATCATGCTGCGGATCTGCGGGATGCTGCGGGCGTCGGACTTCAGAGGTTCCTCGGTGTTCCCCTCTCGGATCTTGTTGACTTCGACCTCGTTCTCCGACGTGAGCGGTGTCATGCCCAGGGGGTTTATCATGATGTGTACTTTCCAGCGCTCTGCTTGCCCATGCTCCGCATAGGCCTTCTTCATGCGCAGGTGCCTCACCAAGTCCACCAGCTCGTCGTATCCCATCGCGTCCATGACCGGGCTGAGCTTCTTCATGTCGCTCTTGATCGTGGTCGGCAACTTGTCCATCCTGCCAAGCGCTCCCAGCAACTCCGCTGCCACGTGTACGCGCGGGGGGCCCATGTCGTCCTCGCCTGCCCGGCTGCGCCTGGCGCATCTGGCCCCCGCCTCCGATCCCGCCAGGATCGCTGGATGCCCGCCGCCCTCCGCCAGGAAGATATCCGAAAGACTGCCTGAGATGGCCCGTATCTGTTGCGCGCTGTTGAGAGTTAGCTTTTCCATGGCGAGTTGCTCCTCGCCGCACTCTGCTTCTTCGGCTCGCCACGGGCCGTCTTGCGCACTGGCTGCGGCACGCTTGCGTCCGAGGGCCCTCTCGCTCGTCGTCCGTCGGTCGCGACTCCCCAGCTCTGCGCCATCGGGCCCTTCGGCGTGTGTGCGAACGTGCTCAAGATGGTCGTTCAGTTCGGTATGCTCTGCGGCGCAGTAGCCGCACGCGCATGCATGCAGCTCAATGGGCCGAACAACCAATGGACGTCGAGCGAGCGAGGCACGTACGCGGCACTTGCTTGTCCATAGTGAGGCAACGCCGTAAGCATGACGCGAGCGAGGCAAAGGCTGTTTTGCACCGGGGACATACGTTCGTACAAATGGGCATGGAACGCACGTTCCTCATATGGTGCGCGTGTGTGATGTGTGCCGTCAAACCTTTAAGCGTCTGAAACGTGCTGCCACAAGGTGTCCCGTCATCTTTCTCAGGCGTACAAATCCATTCGTCGATAACTGTGCTGTGCTCGCCGTTCGCGCCGTCGCGTTCGTGCGTCGCTGCGCGCTGGGCGCCCCCCGCATCTCCTCCGACGCAATGATTCCAACCGGCCTCTGTACCCGTAACATTCTAGCTGCACTTGCGGGGTCAAGGAGGCCCCTGTTCTTGGAGATGTCTGCTTTGGGAGAAAGTGATGGCGAGGTTCCCGTTGGTTAAAACGCTGAGAACGTTTTCACGCTCGTGCCAAACGTCTCCGAACGTGCTGCCCAGCGCTGCCAATGCCATCAGGTCTTGCTTTCACTGCCGCGCCCACGGTGAACTGCGCTGCGCGGGGCGCCCTCCAGATTGGAGACGTGGCCGTCCAAGCTGACGGTCTAGCTCCGCGGCGCCGAAAATGGCCATGAACACCAGCTTATGGTTCTCGGGCTCTCGTGCCATGGCCTGGTACCATCGTGAGCGTTGGACACGAAGTTCAGCGGCTGTGCCACATAACTCCCAAAACCTGTGCATTGCTGAATGTGCAGACACGATCCCCGTGCAATTGCCTTGCTCCTCCATGCATCAAGCATCTAAGTAACTTGATGGGAGTGGTGTCCAGCGCTTTGGTAAACTCTGGCGGCAACGCGAAGGCTGTCAATCCCGCGATGGCCGCGCTGTACACGGAACAAAGAAACTGCGTCCTCGACTGACTGCGGTGTAGCGGCTGATGCCAAGCTGCGCCTAAAGGTCGCCAAGCTGCTCGAGCCCCTCGGATTCTGTCTTGGAATTCGGTTCTCAGCTTGCCGTCGAAACTGATCATGGGCCCGAAGACGCGGCTTTCTCGGCATACTTCTCCCTGGATGAAGCGGCGTCTAGCGAGCTCCTTGGCGGTCTGGAACGAGCCGTCTCCACTCGGGGCAATGAAGTGGTTAATCTTATCTGCGTTCAAATGGTATCCGTTAACTTGTATATGTGATTGCAATCTTTCTGTTGCATGATTCAGCTGCTGTGCGATGTGCTTGCCCTTGGGTGCGCATGCGTGCATATGCACTCTCGTTGCGTCGTCCACGAAGAAGTCGACCCCGATGCCCGCCCACCCGCTGCGCCCTACCAATTACCGGGGGACCTCGAAGCCAACTATAGCTAGTATCAGACCATCATTCCAGCTAGCAGCTGTCGGTGAGTATACGTCTACAAAGCCCCCCGCTGCCATAGTGTGCCCCATGGTGGTGCCTATGTGGGGAAGGAGGTTTATCTCGCCGTCGATTCCCGTGGCGTGGATGCTGGCCATGCCGGCTGCCTTGCCCAGAAGCCCGACGTTGTCTGTGCGCCCGTGCCGTGCGTGATGTTCTCTCAGCGTTTCCCTCGTTGTGCAGGCAATGGCGTTCGACCCGTCGAAGTTCGAGACAGCGCGACTCAGTTTCCCATCTGTGCATCTCCACATAGCAGCCGAAAGAGGCAATATGCATCCTTCCCGCCTCCGCCCCCGCAGACCTCCGCGGGCGCGATCAGAGGGCGCGGGCCGACGAGGGACTTTGTGGAGGTGGCCGAATAACGACATGCCGAACGCATCGAAACAATGTCGGACCCTCTGCCCGTCGATGCCTATCTCGCCGTTGTTTTTGGCCTGCGCGAACGACAACGCGCGGAGCGACGTGGGCGGAGCGAATCCGACGATCCTAACCAGAGCTAGCAAATCATTGTAACGCCTGCTAACAGTCTGTGGCGCGCATGTCCTACGCCTTGAAAAGCGGCGCATGCTGTGATCAACGCACGCGCCGAGGGCCTCTGCTAGCACCCCCCGAGACGGCCCCGCTCGCCGCTTAGGTGCCCGACGAAGATGCCCTATCTGCCCCGCCCCGTCGCTGCGCACGAGCTCTCTAAGGTCAGGCTTGTGATGCAGGTGCGGCAGAACAACTGCGATCGCTGATCCATTCTGCCCCGTTTAACCTAGTGCGCTGCATTTCTCCGTCCTGCGGGGCTTGGGCCAATCCCAATTCCCATTCTGTCGCAGTCGTCGTCGGCCTGGCTGAGAACAGGAACCTCTTTCCTGGACTCTTGCCAATGCCCGAGAATGCAACGCGGATTCTGTGCAGTCTGCCATTTTGCCATTCCGCCGGGCCTTCGTGATCTCGTTTGGCTAGCGCCTCCGTCTCTTCCTATTTCTGCTGTCCGCGAATCCCCATGCACGCGGCAAATCATAGTCTTCAGCTGTTGCTCGATTCGGTCGAACTCACTGGGGCCATTGTCTTGAAAGGCCTTGCTGCCAGCGCGGTGCAATGGCTCTCGCAGGTCGCCGCGCTCTCTGATGAGTTTCATTCTCTGCTCACGCATCTGCTCGAAATCGATGATCGCGCTCGCTTGCCCCGGGAAATGTTCTGTCATGCTGTCGCGAATGCATCCCGAGAGAAGATCCCACGCGGCTTGCACGTCGCCACGGTCCAAAACCTGTCTCCAGTCATCTTCTGTAATCTGTTGTGCGCGACCTTCGACTTTCTCAAGAAACCCTTGCCGCCGGTGACCTCTGGAATAGACCGCCATCATCGCATCTCTATACGCGGGTGGTGTGAAATGGGCCTGGTGGGCTCAGCGCACTCCGATGTCCATCTGCGCAAATACTGGTGCGTGATCGCTTGAATGCGTGGATGCAAACTGTCGCAGCCTCCGTTCCAGTCCCTGCATGGTGTTCAGTCTCCTGATTCGGGGAGCGGCTGTCTGCGGCATTATGATGTGGTCGATCTTACTTCTGTGCGCACCCTGGAAGAAGGTAGCCCCTGATGTCCAAAATGTGTCAGCGATCGCCAAGTGATTTATGTTCAGGAACTCGCGTATCATAGTAGAAATGTTGCCTTCCAATGCTGGCCCATTTATTCCGACCTCGTCGCTGATCCGCACGTACTTCCTGCCCGTGACGTCCGCGCGGACCCCACATGCGCAGTTTAGGTATCCCACAATCAACGGTAATAAATTGCTGCCCATGCGGTCCATCTCATCTTGAATCCAACCACGCGCTGCTTTGACTGTGTGGTGTAATAATTTTGCAGCAGTTCCTTCTGGCGGTAAAGGAATAGCAAACACTGCAATACTCATTCTGCCCAAATGAAACTTGACCAACCCCACTCTCCCGGACAGTCCACGAGACTTCGGCGGCACTTGAATGTTGGACACGACGCCGTTGAGCCCCTCGCCGTACAATACTGCTAAACCACAACTTCGATTCGTAACTTTGCTTTTCCGCCATCCAATTTGTATAGCTTTGTGATGAGAAAGCTGGCACTGCGTGATCTCTGTCACGATGTGAGCTGCTTTGCCAGTGCCGATGCAGATGACCAAGTCGGTGTTCGCTGTGTTCTCAAAGATTTCCTCGAGGCGCGCGTGATCCGCGCTCTGCACGTTGTGGAAGATAATCTTCGCTATAAGAATCCAACTCAGAGGTAGTGTGCCCGTGCAAATATGTGGCCCGATACGACCCAGCCCCGCTGCGCTGCCCTGGAATGTACTGCTCACATGGGGTTAAATGAGCAGGTGCGCGGTCGGAGCTGAGACGGGTCCTTGAGCCAAAGTTGCTCCTGGAGCAAGAGGAGGACGAGGAGGAGGAGGAGGAGGAGGAGGAGGAGGAGGAGGAGGGGGAGGAGGGAGGAGGAGGAGGAGGAGGAGGAGGAGGAGGAGGAGGAGGAGGAGGAGAGCAGGAGGAAGAGGAGGAGGTCGCCGCCGCAGCGCGCGCGCAGGGCTCCTGCGCGCGCGCGGCCAGGTCCTCGGACAGCGCCGCGGACCGGGCCGCGGCCTCCTCCAGGCCCCGCCGGGCGCGGTCGCGCTCCTCGCGGGCGGGCTGGGGCGGAGGAGGCCTCCCTCCCCGCCCAGGGGGGGGCTCCCAGAGGGGGGGTACCCTCCTCCTCCTCCTCCTCCTCTTCCTCCTCCTCCTCCTCCTCCTCCTTTTCCTCGTCCTCCTCGTCCGCCTCCTCCTCCACCAAGCCTTTTCCTTCTAGATAATAACTCATCCCTGTCGCACCCCGAGGCCAGTTTAAACGGCGGGCCAGGCGTTTCGTCTGAGACTTCCTCACCACTTATGACACTGATGCTTAAACACGCTGGCAACACTTTCACAGATGGAGGGCGGGTCGTTCTCAAAATGTGGCTCTCGCCTTAGCGTCGCGCACATTCATTCGTCTGGCAATCCCACCAGCCCTTTAAGACGTAGGTGGTCTAGAGAGATTTCTTTTCCAACCGCCTTCTTCCCCTTCGGGGAAGGGTTTACCCCTCCCCCTTACCCCCTCCCCTGGACCTGGAGGGGAGATTTCGCGAGGCGTTGGAGCGTCCAAGATGGCCCAATATGGCCCCAGGAGGGCCTCAGAGAGCCCAAAATAACCTCCAAGATGGCTCAAGATAGCCTAAGATGGCTCCACATGGCTCCCAAAATGCCACTAGATGCCCCAAGACCGCTCCAAGACGGCTCCAAGTGGCCACGGAACCTCCCAGGAGGCCGCCAAGAGGCCAAGATCCTTCAAACACCTACGGGACAAGAGGCAAAGATCCGCCAGGAGGCCGCCAAGAGGCCAAGAGGCCAAGATCCTTCCGATGGCCTTCCGAAGCATCAAGACAGCCCCAAGAGGGCCCATGAGGGCCCCAAGAGAGGCCCAAGAGAGTGCTTGGGGCTCCCGAAAGAGGAACGCAATTGAAGCTCCCATCTTTTTTAGTCCATCTCCTCCAAGATGGCCCCAAGAGCGCTCCCAAGGCTCTCAAGAGCGCCCCAAGAGGGCCCCAAAAGGCGCCCAGGACGCCCCAAGAGGCGCCCGAGAGGCCTCCAAAAGGAGAGACCCCCAAGAGGCCACAAGAAGCTCCCCGAAGCACCCAAGACGTTCCAAGAGGCCCCCTGGACCGCCAAGAGGCCCTCAAGACGCTCCAAGAGGCCTAAGAGAGCCTCAAGACGGCCTCCAGGGCGCCCAAGAGTGTCCCAAGAGCGCTCCAAGAGGGACCCTCCCTCTGTGTGCTGCCTACTACCCTGATCAAGGCAAATCCTCTGGGCATCGTCTCTGGACGGGCTGGTGGGGTTACACGACGTGTCAAGAATGTGCAAGAATTTAGCGGATTGAGGTCAGGTCAGTTTCAACATGTGGCCCTCGCCTCAGCGCCACGCACCTTCGCTCTGAACAATTGGAAGAGCTTCGCGGTTTGGGGGGGTAGTTTTAAAAATGTGGCTCTCGCCTCAGCGCCGCGCACACTCGTGCTGAACAGCTGCAAGTATTTCGCAGATTGAGGGCGTGTGGTGTTTAAAATGTGGCTCTTGCCTTAGCGCCGCGCATATTCGTTTTAAACATTTGCCAGGTTTTCGCGGATTGAGTGCGGATCGTTTTCAAAGTGTAGCTCTCGCCTTAGCGCCGAGCGTTTCACGGATTGAGGGCGGCTCGTTTTCAAATTGTGGTTCTCGCCTCAGCGTCGCGCACATTCGTTCTAACAGTCTGGACGGGTTGCACGGATTGAGGGCAGATAGTTTTCAAAATGTGGCTCTCGCCTTAGCGCCTTGCCCTTTCGTTTTTGAGTGCACGAGTTTTACGGATTGATGGCGGCTTTTTCAAAATGTGGCTCTCGCCTTAACGCCGCGCACATTCGCTTTACACACTTGCAAACACATTCACTTGTTCTCATGGTTAACGTACAAGAAACGGTGCTATGGAATGATTCAGGATTGACAGGGCGCAACATTTATTACCTAACAGCGAAGACTGATAGGTTTCTAATGGTCTCAAAAGAAATCATCATGACTTCCCAGGGGGGTCCGGGCAGGATCCAGGGAGAATCCGCGGAAGTCGTTTTAAGCAAACAGTTACACACTTCGTGGTCTTCGAGGTCCCAGAACTCCATTACCGGGCCACATGTTGAATGCCCGGAGCCAACTGTAAGCCACTTCGTGGTCTTCGAGTTCCCAGAACTCCATGCCTGGGCAGATTTTGATTGCCCGGAGCTAACTGTAGGCCACTTCGTGCTCTTCGAGTTCCCAGAACTCCATTCCTGGGCCACATATTGAATGCCCGGAGCCAACTGTAGGCCACTTCGTGGTCTTCGAGTTCCCAGAACTCCATTCCTGGGCATGATTTTGAATGCCCGGAGCCAACTGTAGGCCACTTCGTGTTCTTCGAGTTCCCAGAACTCCATTCCCGGGCCACATTTTGAATGCTGAGGCAGGCTGATGCTGAGGCTGAGGCAGGCTGAGGCTGAGGCAGGCTGAGGCTGAGGCCGAGGCTGAAGGCAGACTGAGGCTGAGGCTGAAGCAGGCTGAGGCTGAGGCTGAGGCAGGCTGAGGCTGAGGCTGGCAGGCTGATGCTGAGGCAGGCTGAGGCTGAGGCTGAGGCTGATGCAGGCTGAGGCTGCAGGCTGAGGCTGAGGCCGAGGCTGAAGGCAGACTGAGGCTGAGGCTGAAGCAGGCTGAGGCTGAGGCTGAGGCAGGCTGAGGCTGAGGCAGGCTGATGCTGAGGCTGAGGCTGAGGGAGGCTGAGGCTGAGGCTGAGGCCGAGGCTGAAGGCAGACTGAGGCTGAGGCTGAAGCAGGCTGAGGCTGAGGCTGAGGAGGCAGGCTGAGGCTGAGGCTGAGGCAGGCTGATGCTGAGGCAGGCTGAGGCTGAGGCTGAGGCTGATGCAGGCTGAGGCTGAGGCAGGCTGAGGCTGAGGCCGAGGCTGAAGGCAGACTGAGGCTGAGGCTGAAGCAGGCTGAGGCTGAGGCTGCAGGCTGAGGCTGAGGCTGAGGCTGAGGCAGGCTGATGCTGAGGCAGGCTGAGGCTGAGGCTGAGGCTGATGCAGGCTGAGGCTGAGGCAGGCTGAGGCTGAGGCCGAGGCTGAAGGCAGACTGAGGCTGAGGCCGAAGCAGGCTGAGGCTGAGGCTGAGGCAGGCTGAGGCTGAGGCTGAGGCAGGCTGATGCTGAGGCAGGCTGAGGCTGAGGCTGAGGCTGATGCAGGCTGAGGCTGAGGCAGGCTGAGGCTGAGGCCGAGGCTGAAGGCAGACTGAGGCTGAGGCTGAAGCAGGCTGAGGCTGAGGCTGATGCAGGCTGAGGCTGAGGAGGCTGAGGCTGAGGCCGAGGCTGAAGGCAGACTGAGGCTGAGGCTGAAGCAGGCTGAGGCTGAGGCTGAGGCAGGCTGAGGCTGAGGCTGAGCAGGCTGAGGCTGAGGCAGGCTGAGGCTGAGGCCGAGGCTGAAGGCAGACTGAGGCTGAGGCTGAAGCAGGCTGAGGCTGAGGCAGAGGCAGGCTGAGGCTGAGGCTGAGGCAGGCTGATGCTGAGGCAGGCTGAGGCTGAGGCTGAGGCTGATGCAGGCTGAGGCTGAGGCAGGCTGAGGCTGAGGCCGAGGCTGAAGGCAGACTGAGGCTGAGGCTGAAGCAGGCTGAGGCTGAGGCTGAGGCAGGCTGAGGCTGAGGCAGGCTGAGGCTGAGGCTGAGGCAGGCTGAGGCTGAGGCTGTGACTGCGACTGCCGTTGCCGCTGCGACTGTCATCGCGAATGCGACTACGACTGCGAGAACAGCAGAATTCTACAACTGGATTCTCATCTGAATCTTAAAGGGAATGCTTCCAGATATGCTCCTACACGTCGCTGTTAGGTTGCTTTGCCGGGATAATTTTGATTCGCGGTGCTGAAGTTTCACGAGTAGTGTTCTAGTACGACTCAGGATCGCCACGGCATAACAGTCAGGTTAACTCGTGGCGTTGCAGTCCTGAGAGTGGTGTCTTGGCACGCTTCAAGATGTTCACATGGCTGTCCCCCAACAGGGCGAGTCCCTCAGTGGAAATGACCCATTCTAGGGCCTACGAAGAGGGATCTTGGAGGGAGGGTGTATGTCAACATCGTTGATGAGTTTTGGGTTTGCTCTGATCCTCCTCCTCCTTCTCTTCTTCCCCCTTCTGCGGGAGGGGACTCCTCTTCCTCCTCCTCCACCATGTATAACATGCTCCTCCTCTTGTCTTGCTTCCCTCCTCGTCCTCCTCCTCCGTCTTCCTCCTCCTCCTCCTCCCTCTTCGTCGTCCTCCTCCTCCTCCTTCTTCTCCGTCCTCCCCATTTCATCCTCTTCCTTCCCTGATCCTCCATGCTCGACCCACTTTTCGAATTCCTCCCTGCTCCCTCCTCCCACCTCCCTCGTCCTCGTCCTTGTCCTCGTCCTCATCCTCGTCCTCGTCGTCCTCCTCCTCCTCGTCCTGCTTTTCTCGTCCATCGTTTGCCCGGCCTGTTTCTTCTAGATGCGCGCAGAAGACAAAATCACTTCGCCTGCCAAACCTCCGCGCACTTCGCCTTTCCAGCCGGCCGAGGCCTCCGCGCGACCGGCCAGGGAAGTCGACCGCCGCGGGCGGCCCTGCAACGAACCCAGCCTCGAGAGCGTGAATATGCTGTGGCACGCAACAGTCAAGGACATCAACACGTTGAGGAACAATACCCATCGGTCGGAAGACGTAGGCAGGAACATGAAAGAGGAAGGTGTTGAAAAGAGATTGGGTGTCCGCCCGCCCCCTGAAAAAGGGGACGGAAAAGGCGAAGCCAGTCGATCATTGAAGTCGGACGGCGCCTAAAGTGGACTGGAATCTGGAACTCCAATATTGCCTACTTTTAACGACCAATGGGTAGCGGTTGCGCTGGACCCCCTTGCCTGGCGCCTCCCCTGGCGCCTCCCCTGGCGCGCGCAGCGCGCCAGGAGCGACGCCAGAGGCGCCGCCAGAGGGCGCCAGCGAGGATCCAAGAACTCCGCGCGGACCTCCCGACTTTTGGGCGGATGACATTCTTCGCTGTTCGAAAATGAAGACTACCAGGAAGCTGGCACACACATACACACACACACACACACACA